TATTTAGCACAGACGGCGCTGGCAAAAGATTGGTTAAACTTGCCATGAATAACTGTTTCACGAATCTCACAGCACGAAAATAGCATTTTATTCGCATAAAAACGTTTTTTAATGTGATAAAAGCCTTCGAAGACTTCTAGGAACACATATTAAAACGGTAAAAGTAAAAAATAAAATGCACAGTATGCAATTACTCGAAGGCGTTGCATTAAAAAATTAAATAGAGAAATTGTAAACATCTGAAATGTAAAAATCATTTTTTTACATTTCAGATTTCTCCTCCCTTTTTCCGCATTGCAGTAAATCAAGCAAACATTAAAAACATATCAGTGTATTGAACGATATAGTGAAAAAAAAAATATTCGTCAGAAAAAGTATATAAATATCGCCAGAAATTGTTGTTTGCGCATCTGCGAATACGGCGGATTGACGACTTTCTAGGAATAGAAGACAACTCCAGCAATTCGCAAAAACCTCATCTGAAGTTATTTCCTCGTATTTGATATGAAAAAAAAATTATTGCTTTCCGCCAAAAGAAGTGACGAAAGCGAGATTAATTCTAGCCATGCGTTTAAGTTATCTTAGATTCTTTAAAAAGAGTCGAGATTTTAAATTTCATTTGAAAATATCGAGGAAAAAAAAAAGGAATTTAATCTTTAAACAAATCATATATATTTTCAGGGAATTTCACATTTTCCTTTTCATTCAGATTTTTTGAAAGTTAATCATTTTTATAAAGGTTTTATTCGAAGCACTTTCGCCAAGAGATATAATAATTTCTAATTTTAAATTTTATAAGCCATCATAACGCAAAAAATTGTTAAGACTTCAGAGCCATAAAATAGTTTAAAATCGTTCTTCGCCCAAAATTAAAGTATAATTCTTGGCGGACTATTTCTTTATTATAAGTCGACCTAACCACTTCCCGTTTTAAATTTGGACATTAGTGTTCGCGAAAAATACATTCAAAGTAGTGAAACAATAGCGAACTATTGTTAACTATATCTACGCACTAGGAAAAAACTATTATCCTGTTTAACAGGTAAAACATCTTCATCGTTAACATAGTAACCTGTTAAACAGGTAAAACTATTATCCTGTTTAGAGCTAATTATACGTAGTTAGGATTCAGTGATTTTAACAGTTTAAATTAAATGACTTAAATATATCATCATCAATGGCTCAACAGCCCTGTATGGGCCTTCTCAAGAAGTTTTTTCCAGGCTAACCTTTTTTTTGCTAGTGTTTCCCAATTTTCAGTTTTTAAGACCAAAAAGTCTTTCTCTAGGCCAGGGATGGCGAACTAATGGCACGCGTGCCATTTATGGCACTCGACACAATATTTTGGGCACTCCACCGATAAGCACATGTAACAATTAAATTAAAATTCACAAAAAATAAACAATATTAACAAAAATAAACTAAAAATTAATGCTAAAAAAACAATTAATAACCATAAAAAACAAGCTAACAATAAATAACTAGCGAAAAAAAAATTAACAGTCCTGCTTAAACTAACATCTTACAACCTAATATAAGTTATTTGTCATCTAATCTGCATCAACAGAAGTCACACTAATGTTACTTGAAAGTTGAATTACGCGTATAACTGAGATATTGCAAAATGTTTTTTTTTTTCAATGTAAATAAAGAGTTTTGAGTTGATAATATTTACTATTATTATTTTCTCAATAATCACGAAGTCAAAATTATTTGACGGCACGTCTATGACCTCATTAACCAAATTTTTTTAGAGAAAATGGCGCGTTGGTGTATAAAGGTTCGCCACCCCTGCTCTAGGCCATCTATACATCTCAAATTCGGCCTGCCTCTTTTTCTTGTGCCAACTGGTCTGGCATTGAAAACTCTTTTTGTGGTACGATCTTCGTCCATTCTGATAACGTGGCCTGCCCATTTTATTCTTTGTCGGACTTAAATAGATATATGACATCAAATCTATAAAAAGTATACACATATATTTTACATATAAGCTCAAAAAAGAAAGAGAGATAAAATGCAAAATCTTTCAATAAGTAGGGAATCATTTAAAGATCCATGTAACGGTTCATTTTTATCTCTTCTCAATTAGTGATTTATGAATTGATGTTCGATTTTTATCTGTAAAAAAAAAGACGATAAAATTGTGAAATGTAATATCTATCAATGAATGCCACTATAAAACAAATAACTGTAACACGAAACGAACCCGTCTATCATCAACTTTAAGCTTCTGAGTCTGGCAATGAACTCGTTTAATCTAGAATGACGTCAATTCTAAATGTCACACTTATTATGAAGATAGTGATTTCACACTATTACAACTAATTCCAGCAAAAACTCTACAACAACTTAAAAAAAAATTTAAAATGTATTTGAAATTAAAAGAAACGAAAAAGGAAGAACGAAAAAAAAAAGCTATCAGTGATTTAATATCTATAAATTTAGTTCATATTGAGATAATTGATGCAAGATCCAAATAAAATTCGGCGATGGGGTAAATTTTAGGAGAAATTTTAATCATTTAACATGCCATACAAATTATTCAGGAATTTTCAAATTATTCTGGAAATACAAAGCTCTTGTGTCTGACATTTAATCCAAACTGACGTCCATCCTAAATGTCACAGCTTGTTTTGAAGATTGAAGGATTGTTTTTTCTACATAATATCAAATTTATTTGAAATTAAAAAAAAACATTGTTTCGGCGCAAATGATCATAAATTAAGTTTAGGTCACATGGAGAAAAATTGGTGTAAATACAAATAGGACGTTCCGTAAAAAACATCTTTTACATGTATTTTTAGAATCTTTATCATAAATTAAGATTAAAATTTACACAAAATAGGGATTATTTAAGAGAAACATAGGTTCATTAATAACACAAGATGGCCACATGATCCGTTAACAGTAGCGGATCACAAATTATTTTAACTAAAAATAGACCGTTTATAATATTTCTTATTTTAAAAATGGCCCCTTCACAAAATTTTTCGCTTTAAAAACAGAGTCGATAACAGGTTAAATTCATTCTTTTACAACCACAACTCCTTGAAAGATACGGAATTCCTTGTTTTTCCACATAGTTTCACTTATTCTTAAAAACAGGACAGGACCTTGGCAGAAATTAATCGATCCTTCGGTAATTATATTCAGGAAATTATAAGATGATTTTTCAAAAATTCACAAAAACACGACCTTTAACAAAAGTCTAGAATGAAGAATGACCCTTGCTGATTTGAACATGGATTATTCAAGTCGCATTAATTTTCATAGAATTTCTTATTCCTACCAATGTTCCAATTCCATCTTTTATTCAAATTTTGATAATTTCGAAGTCGTATCAAAAGTAAATTAGAAAACTTAAATACTAAGCTAAACTTAAAACAATTCAAATTAGCAGTTATCTCAGTATTTGTTTAAGCCACTCCAAATTACGTGTGTTTAAATAAAGTCTATAGGTAAAGGTCATTGGCCAATATAACCAATGTGGCTTATCATTACATTGCCCAAAGATTTAATAATTTAGTTTAAAATTTCCTTTACAATTTCCATTGGGATGAAATGAAAATCCCAAAAATGCAATAAACATAATATGAAGAACTTTTCATTTCTTATAATATTCATGAAAATAAAATGACATAATAAAATTATTAATTTAAGATAAAGTATTGTATTTATATATTTAAAAACAGACTTGCTGCATGCCTACACTGATGGTATTAGGACGGCGCATTGACGCCAATAGGCGTAAACAAAATTCTACAAGAGTGAAAAATAAAATTGAAAACCTTGAAATTTTTACTCCAACACTTTCTCATAGATCAAATATTGTAATAATATTGATAGGAGCAGTGGCAGCTCAGGGTATAATGCGTGCGCGTTCCAATGCGATAAACCAGGTTCGAATCCCAGCCATGGCTTGTCGATATGAATTCCGCACCCGGCTCGCACTGACATAAAATATCCTCAGTGGTTGATGAATCATGGGTTAGAGCCCCCAGGCTAACTGCGGGATGTCTTCGTGGTTTTCCTCTCCATGTAACGCAAATGCGGGTTAGTTCCCTCAAAAAGTCCTCCACTAAGGCAAATTTCCTCCATTACTTGATCCAAGGTTCCCTTGTCTTCTAGATTGAGTTCAAAATTACAAGGCTACGGAGTTGAACATTAGTAATCGTAAACCCAAAAAAATTAGATCTGCTGTTCAAGGACGGTTATAAAATAAAAATAATATGGGAAAGTTTGTTTTCAATGGTAAAAAGAAACTTCCTGTATTCCAAAAAAAGAAAACCATCAGAACAAGTAACGAAAATTTGGCAATAGTTTATCAAAATTTATCTAATTATTTACCATAAAGAAACATAAATACATACCAAAGAAAAGGAGAGCTTTAAATATATATTGCAGCAGAATTATAGTAGCTGGTATAAAATTTATTATTATAAGTAAAAGAAAATATTTTTTATTCTAGTTTTTTTCATAAGACCCAGTATACTAAACAAATGCTAGGTGCATTTTTTTTAACTGTTAGTTATTAACAACAGAAAATTCATTTTTTTTTTATTATTATACTTTCATACAATATAACAAATGTATCTTGTATCATTTTTGTTCCTTTTTAAGTGAAAAAATATATTTTCGACACAAAAGATTTTAAAATGTAATTTCTAATTACATAAAATACTGTTATTACTTAAAATAACAGTATTTTATGTAATTAGAAAGTATTAGAAATTTATTATTTAAATTTGTTTACATGAGTTTCGAATCAACAAATAAAATGTTCTATGGCAAATTTATTCATATATTTTCATGTAATCTGAGTCCAATCCCCCCTTTTCTTTATTAAACCGGTAATTTCAGCATCATGTATAAAAATTTTAAAAAAAACTTGGGAAACAAAAATAATTTAAAAGCATTTTCACACAACTACGTTGAGCTGAAAACATATAACATTAATAGAAAAAACGAATAAGATATTGTGCCAAATAAATTCAACTTACCCATTAAAGGAATAAAAAGCTGGTGTAATCCAAATTCCACATCGCAAATATGTGAAACAAAAAGAGAAGAAAAAAAAAATATTTTTTTTTCAATAAAGAATTCTCACTGTCACAAACGACGATCTAGCAGACGATTTTTAAGATATTGCCAATAATGAAATTCTGAAATAAAACTAAAGAAGTTTTTATCACAGTCCAATCCGAAAGCGCCTTCAAGTCTGAAAACTAGCTTGTCTCGCCACTGCCGCTAAAGTAACAAAAGTGAGGAACATTTAATGCTGTACATACGTAATATAAAAACTACACTACGGTTGCTTTCATCACTTCCAATGATTCTACTCGCTGAGATTTTACTCAGAAAAGCCGGTTGTCTTATTTCTCAGAAACCCTCCGCAGCTAGTTTTCATTTACGACAAGTTCCACTATCAGCATGCGTCTCGTTCGTTTTGTCCGTTCGGTTAGGCGCACTCGAAAAGGCATATGGGTTTACCACAACAGTAAAGTTGGAGAAGCAGACGAAAAAGATTGTTGAAGGTTGCTATCGCGGAAAATTTATCTCAGTTTTGGCGCTTCTTTAATTTTTCTCTAAAAACATTTTTTCCTCTCATTTTTTCCTCTCATTTTTTCCCTATATAAAAAGAAAGATAGATGGCGGCTAAAATGAACCGCGAGTGTGTCGAAAAGGTGCACACGTAACCCCTGGAAATCCTAAGGGTTAAAAATAATTTTTTTTCAAAACTTAATTTTAAAAAAATTATTTGAAATAATTACAATTATTCATTTTAGTTTAGATAATGATGTGCAATTGTTATTAACCTAGTCTTAAATTAGTGAAATAGCTGTATTTTTAAATTCAACGTTATGATTAATTAATATATATACCCCCAAAAAAAATTTATTTTTAATTTTTATAAATAATAATAAAACTTTATAGATCTCCTTTTATAGTGCTTAAAATAAAATAACTTTAATAAAAGCATAATTATAATACGATTTTTTCATTTTTATTTTTAGAATTTTAAGGTTAAAAATTAAAATTTGACGCAAAAAACATTCGGTTTATTTATTAAATAAATTGCTGAATTTCTTTTTGTTTTTCAAAAATTTCCGACGCGTGCATGCAAGTAGATAAACAAATAAAATTAAATCGAATTCTTCGATTTTTATTGCAGATTTGGATTATGTATAAAAAAAAAAATTAATCCCATTGAAAACAGGTATGCCGGTTAACAGACGGCTCTGTAACTGCAATGAAATAGGGATAAAAATTGCTTAAAATAAAGATTTTTCGAAAAATAATGTCACTGGAAAATATAAGAAAAGTTGCGTCGAACTAAAGATACTACACTGACACTAAACTCGACTGAATAAAGTATGTAGAAAAGTGCAGATTTCATACTCTGCAAGGAAAAAAAGCGGTTTTATTTTTATTTATTTATTATTAACTGTAATGGTTAAAAAAGAAGAGGCAATGGTCGGGATTCTGGGAAGATAACAGTCTAATCGTTAGAATGATGGGAAAGTAAAGTTTTTATGTACTACCATGATAGGAAAGAACAAATTTTTTATATTCAATGGCAGGGAAGTACAGATTTTATATGCTACAACTATATAAAAGAAAAAAAATTTTTTGTAATAAAATGGTAGAGCTCATTTTTTTTAAATTTACATCGATGACCTCAATCTTCATTTTCCCCTTTCTATTTTATACGTTTCACTTCAGACGATATTTTTCATACTTAATTTAATGTAGAATTTAAAAATGAGTTTTTTAAATAACTCTGTTTTTAAGTCTAAAGTTTCTACTAAATATTGGAGAAGAATTACTTAAACTTTAAAAAAAAATTAAAGCATTAGAGCAAAAACTTTTTTTACAATCAAATAAGAACGTCTTTCCTTTTTATATTTCTAAATAAAAACAACAGTCAATCACAGAAATATAAAATTCCTTTTCGAATGTCTTTTTTGATTATAATACATTCAAAGGAATTTAAATATAAATGATTTTAATTTCCCTGTACTGAAAGCTTTGTCTTTAAAGTTATTAAAATATAAGCAAACGATTTTTAACGCAAACTTAAAAACAGTTCACTAATCGTTGTTTTTAACGTAAAAATCTCAATAATAAATATATGAAATTCAAGTTGCATTTATTTTATTTAAAGAAATCCAGAAATTTTAAAAGACATCATTAAAAAAAAGTATTTTCCTAATGTTTTTTAATATTTTTTATTTTGATATTTTATTTGTAACCGTAATTTTTTGTTCCAATTATAAATTAAATTTCTTGCACAGCAAACGACAATTTTCATTGGAGATTTCATTTTGGATAAAAGCCTAATCAGGAACAGACTTTTTCCGTGTTCAATAACCGACCTCGAATAGAACCCTTTAGAATATTTTATTAAACAGATGAATTAATGAGTCTCATTTTGCAAAAGCATTTTTTCATAATGGTAAAATTATTTACTTCTTAATAATAGAAAAAGAGTTCCAAGAATGATCATCAGTTTCTTTAGTTGCTTGATTTTGTTATGAATCGAACGAACGACTAGAAAATGGTTCGATGACCTCAATCTTCATTTTCCCCTTTCTATTTTAGATCATGAATAAACCTCTTACGTGAAAGTTTTATAGCCTATAATTATAGACATTTATTTAAATTACACANATTGAAAAAAAGAATAACGTTTACAGAAAAATTAAAGGTTAAGTAAAATTAGAAATTAAAATTGTCACATTACATTAAGTGTAAATGTGACACTGGTGTAGACAAAATTCTCAAAATATTTGAAAGATTATCGTTTGATATAGTCAAACAAAACTTTATTTTCATATGTAAGAATTTCAGGAGTTGTTATTTTAACTAGTGATTCGAAAATTCACTGAGGATTCGTCGAATATATGTTAAATATTTCTCTTAAGCATTCATCAAAGATTTCTGTTTAATCGTAAATAAAGAGGCCATTATTTTTATTCAGGAATGAAATTTATTGGAAATTCATTTAAAGTCGTTTTCATATTTCAACAAATCTTTCCCTCCCATTAAGGTCTTCCTGAGTCCTTTTCATCGAAACAGTCATATTAAGTTCATTAAATAAAATAATAATAATAATAAATAATAATAATTATAAATAAAGTGAATTGTAATTACTAACATCATTAAGGGGCCTCATCCAGTAGGGGGAAAATGAGCGCTACACCCCACTTTTAGGGTTGATGACTTCTCTTATTATAGAATGAGCACTACACCCCACTTCCTCAGTATGGATGAGAGTTCAATCCTACTGATAATCTCTTTGTAGGGATGACGTAGCAGGGCTTGGACAAAACAAATGTTTCTTAAAAATTTTGGGTATTTATTTCATCACAACTATGTGTATGTTTAAAAATTTTGAAGCTAACTTCTTAACCTGAAGCAAGTTTCGCAAAGTTCGCAAGTTTCGTAAAAATTCGCCTAGTGTCCTCCATTATGTTAACCATGTATATGCTCTTAACCTCGCATGGTCTAGCTAGATTAAACAAACGCTTCTTAAAAACTTTTTAGTATTTATTTCTTCACATATATGGGTATTTTTGAAAAATTTGACTCTTACTTTGTAATCTGAAACAAGTTTCAAATGAAGTTTTCATTGGGAAAAGTTACAAAAAATTTGCAAATTGTCCTCCTTCATTTTTATATGTATGCTCTTAACGTAGCATTGTTTGTACTAAAAATCTCTTCTTAAAACTTTTGAGTTCATATTTTTTGACATATGTCGATATTCTTGAAAGAATCGAAGCTCATTTTTTAATCTTAATCAAGTTTCAAATGAGTTCCTCATTGCAAAAAATTATAAAAAATTCTCGAATTGTTATCTTTATTGTCAATTATACATATGCTCTTAACACATTATTGTTTGGAGCAAACAGATTCTTCTTAAAATTTTTGAAATATTTATTTCTTGACACATATGGGCATTTTTGAAAAAAAAAATGACGCTCACTTTATAATTTGAAACATGTTTCGAATAAATTTCTTGTTGCAAAAAATTTTTAAAAATTTCACCAAGTGTCCTTCAATGTGTTAACTATAAATATGCTCTTAATGTAGTATTGATTGGAGTAAACAAATCCTTTTTAAAAAATTTGAGTACTTATTTCTTGACACCTATGGGTATTTTTGAAATAACTTACGCTCATATTGTAATCTGAAAAAGTTTCAAATGTTTTTCTAATTCAAAAAAAATTTAAAAAATTCGCAAAAAAAAAAAAAAATGACGCTGACGTTGTAATCTGAAAAAAGTTTTAAATGATTTTCTCATTGCAAAAAATTCACAAAGTGTCCTCCATTCTTTTAATCATATATACGCTCGTAACGTGGCCTGGTATGGACTAAACAAAAGCTTCTTAAAAATTATGGGTATTTATTTCTCCACATCTAGGGTATTTTTTAAGCACAAGACACTTTCTTGACCATGACACTATTTAAACCATGCCACATTAAAAGCATATCTATGGTTAACATAATGGAGGACAATTTGCTAATTTTTTATTATTTTTTGCATTGAGAAAATCATTTGAAACTTTTTTCAAACAACAAAATAAGAGTCAAATTTTTCCAAAATCTATTAGAAGAAACAAATATTCAAAATTTTTAAGAAGTATTTGTTTACTCAAGTAAAGAGCATATATGTATAATTAAAGTAATGAAATAGAATTAGCGAATTTTTACTTTATTTAACAAAGTCGTAAAAAGTATTTGTGGAACTCAGGTGAACGGCTTATGATGAAAGCGAACAAATTTGGAATTATATAAAATCTTTAAAGAACCTGATGTCGTGAAACACTTCAAAATCTTAAGGATAAAAGGCGATAGATCTTTAGTTTAAATGCAGAAAGATTTGAAATTATTTCTAGTCAAGCTAACAGGAGCCAGGCGAAGTGACCCACCTTGATTTGCTTGGATATATTGTTTCGAAAAAGACATCGACATTCTGAAAACCAAATAATGGAGGACATTCGTCACATGGAGAGACGCTAGTAAAAGACTTCTCAAGAAGACGAGGGCCCACACAGGTCTGTCGTTCCACTGAAGAGGAAGATCTTCCTACTAAATGTGAATTGCAAAGATAATTAATTATATCTAGATTGAAAAATTTGTTATTCAAATTTTACAATTAATTATTCAAATTAAATTTGTTACTCAAATTTATTTAATAATTTAATTATATATATATATTTCTAACTGAAAACTAATTGCTATCAGGAGAGAAAAATAATGTCTTGCTTAGATAACTCGTCTAATATTAGCAACGTTCCAACGCAGTTAGTGACAATCATTCTCATGTTTGTTCTCTCTAAATTTTTTTAGGAACTGAGTTTGAAATTTATCAGTGTGGAGCCACGAGGCGGAGACTCTTGTAATCGTTTAAGGATTATGGACCAGAAGCAAATGCTAACAAGCTTTTAGTCATTTTTATTTACTTGTATTGCTATAATTTTGTCGAAAAATCAGCTTTTTGTTAGGGAAATCTCCGATATTCCCTAACAAAATGATTTCATTCTCCCATTTTAATTTTTCGAGAAATGCTGCCAAGGAGAGTGAGTATTCAAAATCAATTTATCTGTAAAAATTAAATAAAAAATGATTACAAGCATATTTAAAATTTCCATGTACTGCCTCGTCGACAGTTGAGTTCGTCAATGGATAACTATTTTTAGCGATGGATTAAAACTTCAATGAGATTTTTTTCCCTCAAAAATGTAAAGTAATAAAATTATGCGTTCAATCACTATAAATGGATAATTTAAAGCTGTGCATTTCTTTTCTTTCCTCCTTTTTCTTTTAGATTTTATAAAATTTACTGATGAAAATCGATTTTGATGATGTATCTTAACGTAAATTACACACAGAAAAAAAAATCTAATATTTAAAAATGGACAAATGTATATTACTGAACACACTTTTGAAAATTATTGATGCCGGAATCGTATTGCTATCATTTTATCCGAAAAGAAAAGAGAACATAAAATAGCGCACCCTTTATATCTCAAATTATGGTTGATTGACACGGCCTTTTATTTTGCATGCTTTGTTTCGAAAGATATTGCCTAGGCGAGGAAATATGCAACATCAGTTTATCAATGAAATAAAAAGATTAAAAGCATATTTAGAATTTCTCCTCTCCGTATTCATTCCTTTGACGGTTGATTAAACACCTCTTAATAAGAAAAAAGGCCATTGCACGGAATCACTTTAGCAGTCCGACGTAATGAACATAAACTACATAGTGAGGTAAAAAAATACGAAAATACTTTCGAACTTTCGAACTATTAAACTGCGCAGTACAAAGTTGAACTTACAGTAAATTTTTTATTTAAATTCTTTAATTTTTATTTAGATTCTCTAAAAGAGAGCAAAAGATGTAAAATACATCAGTCTTAAAATGCATATTTATTCATTGTGAGAACCGCATCGCAAGATGAATGAATAAAATAGTAATTTTATTCGATAAATTTCAGCTTCAAACTATTTTATTCACCCCTTAAATAAATTTTAAAAAAAACTTTATTAATTTTTTCTTCCAATGAAATCGAATAAATTGGATTGATAAAGCTTCTTAATGACTCATGCATTCGATGATCATCAAAATCGAATCAATTTCATAGATCAATGAGGGTTATGTTTTTCTACTGCCACTTCAAGTTTAAAACGGCTGTTGTACAAACTTGTTTAGTTTTAAAAATATCAAGTAAAGAAGTTAGCGATAAATCACTGACGTAGACGAAAGATCCAATCACGATGCTTAGAATCTCGCTTCACATTGAATGGAAGTAAGGGTTGTTTTTAGGCCCACTGGCACCCACGTACCTCAACATGCCACTGGCACAGGGTTTCTTCCATTAAATCCAAAATAATTCCCAATAGTCATTGTTTTTAATACTGCTAAAACAATTACGAAATTCTATAATTTCTTTGATTCTATAATTTTTCTTTGATTACACCAGAGATTACTATTTTTACTTATTTTTTCATTTTTTTCAGGAGCATCGTATCTCCGGTTTGCCAGATAGCAGATTGAGAAGTGTGCATCGCTTAGTCCAGTGTTTCCCAAAGTGTGGTACGCGTTTAGTGGGGGTACGCGTTCTTATGCGAAATATCTAGCAACAAACGAAAATTTTAAAATTTTATTTAAAAACAAAGCTAGCCATGAAAATTTAAGATTACGTATTTTTGTATTGACTATTTTTTGCAGAGTTAACAGTTAATAATGAGTGGTGTCAACAGCCAGTTGTGATTTTTAACTTTTATGCAATTTTTTTATAGTAAAAAATACATTCATTTTTTTATGAGTGGTACACAGCGTTACGAAAAATTGAGAAAGGGTACGCAAAAGTCATAACTTTAAGAAACACTGGCTTAGTCCTTCAACTCTGATCCTCCTCCCTATAGGAGCAAACTTATCCGTATCTTTTTCAGATCGAGAAAAGTAGGGATGCATGTTGACATTTTTCATGTGAAAAATAGAGCAGACAGAATTTATTTCCGGGAACGGAATTGGAAAATCGAAAATAAAATATTACCTTTCTTAGTAATAAAAAAATATTTAAAAGTATTTCGACGCTTCAACTTAGCCTCAATTTGTATTTATATTATTCGATTCATTCGTTTTTGTTCAGTAACTGAAATTATTTATTTATTTTGCCCGAATGGAGCTACAAATTTCACACATTTAAGATTCAAAAAAACTTTCAGCTTAGAAAATATCAGGCAATGATCTTTATACTTATAAAACAAAGTAAATATCGAGCAATGGCAAATTACTTAATAAAACTAATGTAAGAAATACCAGACAATACCTAAATGTAAAGCATACCGGACAAGGCATTCCCTCCCCCCAAGAAATTAAATATACTATGAGAGATGGGACAACGGTTTATTTTCGACCTTAATAAATCTACAACGAAAGGCCGTAATCCAATTCTCATAGGGATGTAGCTTGGAACTGAAGGGTAGCACGCTTGTTGTTTTTAGTTTTACGCTTTGGACAGTCGCACTCCTCTGAGCATCACTGGAGCGGTTATTTCTCTTATTAAATCACCAATCATTCATAATTAATAATCATTGATTTCAATAACACACAAAATAAAAACAAGGATGACGAATTAATTACGGAATTTATCATAAGCAGAAGATTACTAGGCGCAATTGTTAAACCACTATACTTTTTCTTTCCGCGATTACCAATATAAATTACAGATTTCTCAAGATTTCTACGGATATTTATGAAATATATAAATGCATACAGTAAATAATGAAAAGTCGTTCGTGACGAATCATCACCACATCCTTGAAAGTTTTCTATCCCGCAGTCAACTGGTGACCTAAATGCCTAGTAAATAGCTTTTGAATGTCTGTTTCGTAAACTTCAATTGTCCTCCACTCGCATATAAAATTTCCCATTCATAGAAAGAAGGAAAAAAAAATGAATTTCTTTCAATGCGTGTTGAAAATTCGTCGTATATTTGTCATGCTGCATAAAGCATCATTCTTCATTCAAGTTGTGGCAGATATGGAAGTGTTTTCCTTTTTGATTTCTTGTTGTGGTATTTACGCGAAGAAAAAAAAAATCCAACTGAATATAAGTTATTTTTGAGTTTGACAGCTCTCCATTTTGCCACATACAGCACGAAACATTGACAAAATTGTTAGTCACTATTTTCCAATTAACCAACAAGTTCGTGATGTAACGAATAATGCATTTGTTCATCATTTAGTTATTGTTTACGAAGTATTTATTAATGATATTTTTTATTTATACATAAAGAGATAATGGTGCGTAATCTTGTTACTTTATATATATATTTTTTATATAATAATTACTCCTCGTGTATTTTGTGTGCCAAGTTGCACAAAGCATCATTCTTCATTTAAGTAGTGACAAATATAGATTAGCTACGGTATTTGTGTGTGGGAAAAAAAAACTGAAGAAAAAGACATTTCTGTCTTAGATGGAGTTTCATTATTTGCCCGAATGTAGTGCAAAATATTTTCACAATATTCCAAATAGCCAACAATTTTGAGACATAAGGAAAAATGTATCGATAAATCAGTTATTTCCATTTACAAACTATTAATTGAAGATTTTTTTATTTATGCATAAAGAGATAATGGGGCGAAACCTTGTTAGTTAAATTTTTAAAAAAAATAATGATTACCCTTTTATTAAAAAAAAATTCGCCGCATATATTTGTGTTGCATAAAGTATCATTCTTCATTTCATTAGCTTCTTTTCTTTTCTTTCTATTTTGCTTTTTTTTTCATTAGATTCTTTTCTTTCTTATTTACTTGTTATAGTATTTATGTAGGGCGGGACTGAAAATAAAGCTTTTTTTTGTGTTAGGTGATGGCACTTCATTATTTTACCAAATGTAGCAAAAAATATTTTCCGAACAGCCAATAAATTCGAAGAGGCCAAGATAACCTGGTCGGTAGGGCGCTGGGCCCATGTTCAAGAGTTCGTGGGTTCGATCCCCGCCGGCCGAAGACTCTCCGTGTAGTAAATGGTGACTGATGCACGCTAAATCTGCCGGATCGCAAAGTCCTCCATGTTCCCATAACAAATCCATACCTCTGGTTTATTGATCCAGGAGTTTCCTTGTCTTCCGGATTGGTTCAAAATTACATGGCTACGGAGTTGAACATTAGTAGACGTAAACCCAAAAATTGAGTCGGCTGTTCAACGACGAATATGAAATAAAATAAAATAAATTCGAGGGAGCCGCGATGGCTCAGGGGATAGAGCATTCGCCTTCCAATGAGGCGAACCGGGTTCGAATCCCAGTCGATACGAATTCCGCTTCCAGCATGCACCAACCACAGTGCTGACGTGAAATATCCTCAGTGGTAGACGGATCATAGGTTCGAGTCCCCTTGCCGTCGGGCTAACCGTGGGATGTTCTCGTGGTCTTCCTCTCCATGTAACGCAAATGCGGGTTAGCTCCATCAAAAAAGTCCTCTACGAAGGTAAGTTTCTCCGAATACTCGATTCAAGAGTTCCCTTGTTTTCTGGATTGGGCTCAAAATTACAAGGCTACGGAGCCTAACATTAATAGTATTGGGTTGGCTGTTCAACGACAGTTATAAAATAAAAAATAAAATAAATTCGACGCATAAGAAAGGATGATGTATTGATGAATCAGTTAGTTATTTTTTTTACAAATTATTTATTAATCACTTTTTTTATATTTATTTATGAAGTAATAATACTGCTTTGTTGCTTTGTATATCGTAAATGTGTACGTTACTTTAATTAATGATTGCTCTCATTCTTTTGCAAGGTCGTCGTATATTTGTTTAATGTACATTATCCATTATTCTTCAATGAAGTAGTGGCAGATGTGAATACAGTGGAGCATCGTTTATACGACGATCACTTATACGACGTTTACATTTATACGACGTTTTAGTGTGGTCCCAAATCATTCCTATTCATTTTAATGTAAAAATATATCGTTTATACGACGCACAAAATCGGTTATACGTCGGTTTTTAGATTTTGTTCACGTTTATTTAATTTTTTATTTTTTCTTGTGTATTTTAAAAAAGGGCGGAATTTGCCAACATGAATGATACAGAAAAGAGTGCCAACAAGAATGCTTGGATGACGACCGTAATTTTTACTAGATGACTGAAAAAACTAGACAATGTTATGAAGAGGCAAAAACGAAAAATTTTGCTATTCATCGACCAATGTCCAGCGCACCCATCGATACTAATTATTTCGGAAAATGTAAAAGCTCTCCTTTTTCCTGCAAATTGCACAAGTGCGCTTCAGCCATTAGATTTGGCCATGATTAGAAATCTAAAATTGCATCATAGAAAGCAGTAAGTTCAACTCGCTATTCAAAGCATTGTAGAGACAAATAGCAAGAAAATATAATTAAAGGTATCATACATTCAAATTGCTCACTGCAATTTCTATTCTTTGGTTATTTGTTTGTTTTGCTTTGTCTAATTTAGAAATTTATGTAAATCAACACGTTAAACATTAAAATTAACTGAAAAGAGAGTTAGTTTCAGTTTTAGAAGTAAAAATCGATTATACGACGTTATCGTTTATACGACGTTTTTCGGTGGTCCCTTCGGCGTCGTATAAACGATGCTTATCTTTTTTTCTTGTCGAATTCGTGTGGGAAAAAAAAGATGCTTCTATGTTTATTATTTTTTTTAAAAGGCTCAAAACATTGCTAAAGTTGTTAAGTCATAATTTTCCAATTAACCAACAAGTTTGAGAAACAAGAGGAAAAAAATGGAAATCATCTTCTACGAGTCTCTAGTATCCTTGCGAATGCAATGCGGAGAAAGCGATGCTATATTTTTAAATGTCAAAATAGAAAATGTCAATGAAATGGGTCGGCTAGTTCTTGAGAAATTGAAAACTTAAAAATACGATTTCTTTGAAAATTCATTAGTCAGACACTATTCGAATCGTCCAAATTCGGTATTTCGTCATTTTCAAAATTACCTAATTCAAAGTGGTGTGAAAACTTGTGTACCTTACAATTCAAACTTTTTCGATAAAAATAAAGTAATAAAAATAATAAATACACTCATAGACAACGCACCAAGAAGGAGTCGTCAAAATGAAACGAAATTTTACATACGTAATGACTACTTTGATATAAGTAAATTATTAGAAAATCAAAGAAAAACGATAATCTTGGATTTTCTAATCATTTACTTATATCAAAGTAGTCATTACGTATGTAAAATTTTGTTACATTTTGACGATTCCTTCTTGGTGCGCTAATTTTTTTGTCCATGAGTGTCATTATCAGAATTACTTTCTTTCGTAGAATTACTTCGGGATAAAAATTTATTATTGGATGCAAAATTGTTTTGATTTAATTAAAATGTTATATAAGAAAACGAAAAAAAGAATATTAATATTAAAGGGGTTAAACTTTGGATCACTGTCCTGACTATACTTTTGGGACCATATTGTCCAGTTATAGATCCATATTGTCCTACATATTTTGATGTTAGAAAATCTGAATCTCACGACTTAACAAATCAACTTAATGAAGAATTAGCTGTAATTATGTAGAAAATGAGATCAACCCTTC